GAGATAACCTTTGACCCGGTACACAGCTACACAGGCCACCTCTGTAGTGTACATAGCTGGCATTCCTTCACGCACACACGCCAACCGCAATCAGCAGCAGCTGATCGGGCTCAAATCTCCCAGCGAGCCACATTGCCCGCCGAGTTAGCAAGCTGTGGTTAGGTAGCTGCCTTTTGTTTGAATTAGAGGCGCGCAATGGATTTGGATTGATGGCCAAAGAATGGAGAATCGTGTCGTACGTTTTAGTCTGTATCTCCGGATTGCGGGTGTATACGAGCGAGCTCAAGTTGGATGAGTTACGCGTAGTAAATCATAGGTATTATAAGGCTAGTAAATGACGAATTTCCCTTGTTTATTGATGTCACACTCCTTCCCTATTATCTACTCCTGATATATATATATATATAGCAAAATAAAAATTGACACCTTATTCTATTTTTATGTTTATATTTTCCTACGTATATTTATATATATATATATACACATATACACATATTCAGTGTTGATATTGACACTGCCCTTGTCTCACGCATCGTCAGGTACGCGGGCGCGGCTGGCTCTGAGCTGTCAGGTGGAGTCGGCGCGCGATGTGATCGCTCAGCACCTGCGCACCTCGGAGACCGTACAGTCCGTGCTGGAGCTACTGCAAGCCCTCATGCCCGCCGTCGAACAATGCTGCGCGCGCAGCTCACCAGTGGGCAGCACCGGTCGCGCGCAGCGTGCGCTGGATGATTTACACAACCTGGAGAAGACGGTGGAGTCGAGCGACCTGCTGATGGTAGGTTGTCACCGAGTGGTGTGACAGGGGTGTTAGTGGTGACGGTGGTGACGGTGGTGATGGAGATGACAGTGGTGACAGTAGTGACGGTGGTGACATTGGTGACAGTAGTGACATTGCTGACAGGGGTGAACATTGGTGACGGCGTTGACAGTTGTGAGAGTTGTGACAGTGGTGATGGTGGTGACGGCGGTGACGGCGGTGACGGCGGTGACGGCGGTGACAGTGGTTGATGGAGGTGACAGAGGTGATGGCAGAGTCGAGCCACCTGCTGATGATAGGTTGTCACCGAGAGCGTGTGTGCAGTGGTGTCAGCGATGACAGTGGTGACAGCAGTGACGGCAGTGACAGACAAGTGTGTCATGTTAGCCGTATTCTCGACATCGTCATCTGCGACGTGTTAACGCGTGACACTAACTGTCTCTCCATCCGTCGTTAACTCCCGGCAGGTGCCTACGCTCGGCTCGCAGGAGGGAGCGTTTGAGAACGTGCGTCAGAGTTACCAGGGCGACCAGGGCCAGCAGATCAAGCAGCTGATATCGTCGCACGTGCTGCGCCGCGTCGCCATGTGCGTGCTCGCGTCGCCGCACGGCAAGCGCCAGCACCTAGCCGTCAGCCACGAGAAGGGAAAGGTAGGTGCATGCTCGTGGCACGCGAGTGTCGAACATTACACGTGTGGGGGCGTGGCGGGGAATCCCTGGGGCGGCGTGTGCGGGGGTGGGAGCTCAACTTACCTACAGAGATATGTTATGTCCCTTCTCTATAGAACTAAGAAAGGAAAGGTACTTATTTCCCACAAGGCGCAAGGGAAAGGCGCATGCACGCTCTCCAAGCGTCGAATGTTACACATGTAGGGGGG